ATTACCATGCATCGAAATATGACATTAAGCAGCCTTCTGACCCTACTTATGATTAATTTGAGTTATTTAGAACTTTTATTAAAAAAATAGAAAATTATCACTGCTATTGAAAATATAAGGTTTGAAATATATTAACGTTTTATTTGAATTTAAACAAACAGAATTTTAATTTTTACTTGTCATGGAGGTTATTTGTTAAATACCAAATCTGTAAGTTCCTGGTGTCGGATTTTCAGTAGCAGGTCTAGATCGCGCAAAATTTGGATTGAATCGATTTTAAAGGTTTTTGTTATTGTTGTCATAGAGATATCGTTTTTTTTTTTCTAAAAACTGCATTTTGACAAACTTCAGTTCATAGTCAATCACTGGTGAAAATTTTGTGGCGATCGGACAAGGATAAAAACACTTTTAAGGCGATTGAAAAACATCGGTGTGGTCTGCGAAAAACTATGTAGAAACACCTTAACAAACGTACAGATTTCATGCTATCAACTGCATATAGCTGCTTCTGTTCGTTGACCATTAATAAGCTGCATCAAGAGAGGATATTGCGTTACAGAGAGGGAAACGCCCAGTCTAGCCCTTGGGGTCATGTAAATTTCACCAAAGTTATTTTTAGACCAATTAAACCCATGAAACTAACCTGAAGTTTGTTCCCGAAGAGGTCCGCAAACTTTTACACGGTATTACATATTCACTGGAGAGAATTCAACAGCCGCAGGAGCCGAGCAATAGGCTCCTGATCTGAAAGCCGTCATCAAAATATTTTGAATTGTTCGGTTTGCTTTGAGGCAGTCGTGCGTGGACTTGATGACGTTTTCACCAATCGATTAAAATGTGCGCACGTCTCAGGAATGAGACCTCTAAGACCGTTTACCTCTGAAAGTTACTTTAGTGATATTTACTTGTTCGGGCAGACGCCCTAAGATTCCCTCTGAGTCCCATTATTCTCTCTAGGCTGCGTTCATCTCAAAAAGGGCCTTTGAAACTTTTAGTATTTTACTCTCCCAACTTGCGTTTAGTAAATAGCAGTTTGTTTATTCATCAAACACGGTTTGACGATCTATGGTAAAAGTTGGTCGCTATGGTTACGAGATACTGACGACGTTAATAGTCATGAAGACTCATTTTCTTCAGACCTCTAGCATGTAAATTACATACCTTCGCTCTGTTTTTTTTTTTCCTTTCTTAGCATAAACTTGAATTTCTGGGAGGGGGTGGTTGGGTAGTGGGTGGTAGACCTGGTGCTTGAAAGATTGAGAAATCAAAAGCAAACACTTTATATTAATCAAGTAAACTAATATCAGCAACTGTTTTTATCTGTGTTATTGATTATCCTCCCTCACAACAATCCCTTACTACCGCATTTTTGAGAAAAAATGCAGGAGCGTGTCTTGTGTATTTTACATTTACTTGGCTAAACTTCTATAGTGAATGAGTAAGTAACAGCAGGTCAAACACTCAAGTTCTTATTTTGCACTGTAGGATGGTCAATAAAATTGGCTTAAAAAATTGGTTCACAAAAAATTAAAGTCATCTGAAAAGGATGATTAAGGTATCAAAGCGTCGCCCATGACTCTGTTGCGTGACACTGCATCAACACGACTCACCTACTCAGAGCTGTTTTCAAAGTATAACGCACCCGGAATTAGTGAGGAGATGACAAGGTCAAACTTTCACCATTTCAACTTCTTGAATGTATATTTTTAAATAATGGTGACAAACAGAAGCCAGTACAACGCTATAAACACTTTCAAAAGCAAAAAGATGTAATTTGTAATACAAATATGGTCGACTGAGCTGATCTTTCTTTAATCGATAGAAGCAAATACAGAATGAAGAGCACTGTTAACACTGAATATCTACACATTTGATTTTCTTAGAATGAAGCTTTTCCTGTAAAAAAAAATAAAACTAAATTGAAAGCTCACGGCAAAACAATAAAAACGAACCTGTAGTAAACACAAAATCGCGAATGTTTCTTCTTTTAACGAGTGTCACAAAATAGATACCAGTACCCGGGCGAGAGATACTGAAGGCCAGATCTGGCAGCCAGTCCCTCCAAGAGGGCGCCCAAAGCGTGAAATCGCATGGTGTCTAGAACGATACCCCTCAGGATCCCCGGGGGGCTTCAAAAGTAAGCGTTCTCCTTTGTCGAACGCATTAAGCTATCGAACGCGAGGTTTTGGAGAAAATTTTGACGATTTTTGGTCGAGATATTGTTAAGCGAAGGTCTTGGATATTAGCCTTTTAGTAGAAGCGCTTTTACAAATAGAATTAATTCCAAATTCTTCAAACATGGAAAGGAAGAATATGTCTTTTTTCAGAGGACAAAAAAACTCTCGAGAGAAAGATATCCTTAAGTCTTTGGCTTGAAGAGTACGAAGACTATTTGTGGGAGGCTTCCACGCTTAATTTCGGTCCTTAAAACTCCGAAAGAAATTAACGATTAAGAAAGAATGACGTAGCCATGTAAAGCCTGGCTAAGATGTAAGTAGGAAACGTCAACTTCAGCTAAATGTGAAATGCGCTGCAGACAACAAAAGCCATTTTATTGTTAAAGAGTGCACAAAATTCATTTAGCGCGTATACCAATATTTCAATTTATCGGGGAAAAAGCATCTGGCTAGCTTAATTGTACAGAAAATAAATAAACCTGGGGCGCTAAAGATAACATCAAAGCAGTAACATGATTTAATCTATATAATTAATCGTTTGATTTATTGTTTTATTTAGCCTTTAGTCATTATTAGTCTTCTTTGGCTTGCCATTGAAAAGAACTTACGATGCACAATCAGTCTATTTTTCTTACATGCAGGTGCAGCCAAATGCCAGTACGTCAAAATAAGGAGAAGATTCACCACAGTAGGTTTCATTCTGATTCCCAGTACAGGTTGTTGTTGTTTTTTTCAAATTCATTGGTTCTGATCCTAAACTCCCCACTACCATAGAAATCACCTATCTCCCTACACCCCACATTTTTCGAACTTGACTATCGCAAAAAAATGATACTTTTAAACTTTCTAATCATTCTTTTCTCTCACTCCTTCATAAGATTATGATCATTCGTCACTTCCACATTTCCCATAATGCAACTTATTTGTTCCCCCCCCTCCAAAAAAAAATATTGCATAACCTTTGTTTTTCATTTCTTCTGGGTATCACAGCCGTTCAAAGAGAAATTGAAAACAATGCTTATGCAAAATTTTGGGGAGCAAACAAGGTGCATTATGGGAAATGTGAAAGTGGCGTATGATTATTATTACGATTATTATCATGATCATCGTGGCTATACCAGTGACGTGAAGATCTAACTTCATGACTTCCTCCCTCTGCACACAAGCTTTGCTTATCCTCAATAATACGTCTCGGATTAGAAGACAATAAGACGTTTTTGAGCGACGCACGTCAACCGAAAGTGGTCTTTTTTCATTTTTGGACGGTGATTTTGAGCAAATTTTAGAGGTAGTAAGTTTCTTCTGGTAGGCTGTGGAGCGAGTAGCAAACTAGTTGACTCAACACACGCGACTGACCCGAACACATGCGACTGACCGAACACAAACGAACGACGAGAAATGGTGACGTCAACAATCATTTACAGACGACACATCAAATCTACTGGGACTCTGCGACATGTATTACGTATTCTACAGACTACAACGAATCACTTTAGAAAGCTGGTTTACTTACTTAGAACAAACGCCATTGGATCATAGTCAACAGTTACCGGCACCGGACAAACGACTCATGGTCGAAATCAAGCAAAACTAACTACGAGACAACGACTGGAGAACTGACAATTTGACTAACAATAGACGACTGTTCAACTGTGACAATAGACGGATTGAAATGCTCCAATTGCATTACGAGTCTTCAAAGCCAATAACATCACGGCTTAACTCCTTAACTGACGCACGACCAATAACATCGCGACTTAATTGACCAATCAGGTCCATAAACAGAGTATAACACCATCAACTGACGTGATATGACTCACTTTGACTCTGAAGATAACTACCACACAGGTTATCGAAACGTCATTCACTGTCAACAACAACAGTCCCATTCAGGGCTACGTTCACCCGGACGATCAAACTCAAACTACTTTTGAAATGACTCCTAGGTTCAAACCTGTCACAAAATAAGAACTTATTAAACAACCCTAATAGCCTAAATTTGTGCAGATTACCATTAATTTTATGTAATAACCTCTTGAGGTAATCTTTGGAAAATGCAGGTTCTCAGTCGCGGGTTTTTACTGTATTTCAGGGACTTGTCATGTCACCAGCATGGCATCCACCAAGTCTCCGAGCTCGTATGGAGGTTGATAGCCCCTGTTTCACTCGTTCTTTAATCTTGCTCACTCCGATATTTAATTGCACCCACACATATTAAACGGTTTTAATTGTTACACTCAAAGTGTTTAAAACAAATACATGTAGTCATGACTGACCAAGTTGTCATGAGAGTGTGCAAAGATCATTCTTGGAGCAAGGTCGCGAGGACGCTATTCCCTCGCTCGATCGTTCGAGCGAGATTTTGCCCGCTACAACAATGACTAGTATAATAATTATGCTTTCGTGGAAATATTTCAGGTCAACGGTGATTTTAAAATTATCCCGGCTGGTAAATGGGCAAATTAAAGTGATAATCTCTCTTTACCTGTAATGACGACAGTAACTGTCCTTGAAATACAATACAACACCCGTACTGAGAATCAAGTTTGGAAACCTCTTCATGAAAAGTTCCCTGATACTGGGCATGAGCAGTGAATGTTGTCTTCTACCTTTGAAAAACGTAAAAGGGTAAAAGTTTGTTCCCCGTGTTTCTTCGAGGAAAGGTGACAGAGGATTAATTTGCAATTGCGGGTCTGGATTAATTTGCAATTCAACGTATTATTCTATCTTTTTGTTGTCAAACGCGATAAGCAAGCCAAAAATCTCTATAGCCATTTTTATCATCAGTCGTAAATACCTTCTACTGTAAAGGAGTGTGGTAATTTTAATAATAATAATAATAATGATAATGATGATGATGATGATGATGATGATGATGATGATGATGATGATGATGATGATGATGATGATGATGATGATAATAATTGTAAATCTCAAGTATCAAATAATTGAAAAATTAACAAACGAGATTAAATGAATAAATAAAATCGTTTATCAGTGGGAAGTGGACGAGATTTGCATGACAGAGAATCCATGCTAACCCCCATTCCATTTAGATTTTTTTTTTAAACAGTACCAGGTAAAATATAACCCGGATGTTGCAGAACATTTATTCATCTGGATTTTCAATAGTAAGATGTCTTTACTTCGCCGTCCACAAATTCACGAGTTTTCCTACATGTACTTAAATTCAGATTGCTTTTAAAACTGTGTGAAACACATTTATATAAACCTGAGGCTAATTTTAAGGTCCACAAAAATTTTGCTGCCCTTTGGATTTCAATTATTTACATTTTTTTTGTTCCTTATTGAATCGTACAAAAAATAATGCTATTGGAAATCATGAGTGTTAAATGGTATCTATATCGGAGTACCGGGGAAAGATGTCACATTTACTTGAACACACGTTTGTTTTGGCGGCACTTCGTACATGATTTCACTCGTTCGGTCCAAAGTCACACGTCAAGATGTTCCAATTTGAAATGTTCAGGGAAACCGTATTATTATTTTATAGGTATAGTGCGAAGTAAAGGAAATGCTTCGACCGATGCACAAAAATGCGTATTCAAAGCTCTAAAAGAAAGGCTATCAAGAGCGAGATCGATGTATTTTAGCTACATGTAAAATCCATCGCGTCTCAAAAAAAATCTTTTGATTTCAAATGAATACTTACATTTGTTTTGCTAAGTCTGAAAATGTTCTCGCGTTTAATTTAACAGAATGCTTTTTCTTTTGTATTCTTTTCTCAGGGCACTTATTTTTATCCATTTATTTATTTTTTTTTTGGCAATATTCTACTTGAAGCTGCAGTGACCTTAGGACTGTAGAGAGTAGATAACCCCACAAACAGAAATATCTCTTTTACTTTTCATGCGACGAGGCAAGTGAATGCCTGAATGTGTACCTGGGTGCGCACGGCAGCTATAGTGTTCTGTTCTGGCTGACATAATATGACGTACATCTTGGGAGCAAACATACAACCTAGGAGGCCATAGGAACTCACTAATGTAGTGGCGCATGCCACAATGGCTCCACTCCAGTTCTCTAATCCCACAAAGTCGACTGGGAAATATGCTACAGTAGAAAGAAGGAGTATGTACATAGCCAGACCAATGTACCTTGCCTCGTTGAAATTTTCTGGCAGTTTTCTGGCCTTAAATGCTTGTATAGTAGAAATCAAGGAAAGAAGAAAAATGTAGCAGTTGATTGCCACGTGAAGACCAAACCCGCCTCTGGAGCTATGCGGCTGACACGTTAGGAAAATGGACTCGCCTCTCTGAATTACCCGTCTAAGGGATGGTGGATCAAGAATCAGCCAAGATGTCAAGAGACAAAACACCACTCCGTTAAGTAAAACCATGAAACTCGCTTGAATTTTCGTTGTTAAGATGAGCTGCTTTGTAGTCCTGTCGATGAGATTAGCGTGAAATACGCTTAGAATGCGGAGAGTTTTAATCATCAAAGTAGCTACGAATGTTCCCAATGAAGCGTAACTAAAACAACACCTCAAACGGCAAATCAAATTGGTTGGTTTAATCAAGCTCAGAAATGTTTGTGCAAAGAACATGGTTATAGAAAGTTGTAGAATTGCGCTTAGCTCACGACTTGAGGCCTTGACAAGAGGCGTTTCTCGGTATTTCAATAAAATAACGGACGAAAACAGTGTTAGTAGTACGCCAAGAGACACAAAGCCAGTTATAATTAAACCAGTGATGTCTGTTAACTTCATATTAGCAATTGGTAAATCTTCACATTTCGTTCGTTCATTGTTGGTTCTTTGATCTTTTGCACATTCTGAACAATTTGAAGATCCAGGAAGTGGATTTACTGATCCGATAGGACAATTTGTACACTCCCAACAACAAGTAGTTGTAGCAGTCTGCAACGTCCCAGGAGGGCATGCAAATGAAAAGACTGAGGTCGGTATACTGGTCGAGTTTAAAAAACTGCTGCTCCATTTGATCTTTTCATTGTCAACGTGGAGTCTTTTCTTGAAAGCCTTATCCCATGAACCCACAATTACTTTCTGGTATCGTTCATCGCCACTTCCAGATCGCTTTTGGAAGTTGATGATGTCATAAGACGAGATCAAAGGGTCACGGCCTCGTCAAATTCAACCTTGCCTAGTCAACCTTGAAATGAAACGTTTCTTAAGTACAAATCGACATCAAGCGGTTTCACAGTTGCGCTAGTATCGGGACATTTGCCACCCGGAAGAAGACTGTACGGTTCTACGCAGAAATATAGCTTATGAAGAGCGTGTGCAACGGCATACACTGCTTCAATGACATAAGGGAGGAAGGTATCGTACAATTTAGGAATTACTCGCCAAGACAATGTCGTGTTCTCTTTGCAGATATCCAAACCTTTAGATTGATTTACTGAACAATTCAATTCATCTCTCCATACGTCTTCCCACCAGTGCGAAAGGCGTTTTTCCTTCACATCCTTCGGGGCGAAAGTAGATAAATAGGATTCAAAGTCCTTGCTTTGGTAAAATCGGGGCTGTACTCCTAAGGATCCGTCTAGGATATTGAAGATAGTACGGACGTGCCTCGGTTGCTCAGATGCAAGGGCATCGCTTAAAATCCAGGTACGGTCGAAAATTTGCTGCTTTTCTGCTTCTTTTAAAAATCTTTTTCCATAGCCGCCAAATAGCCAAAGTACAATGACTTTAACTTTTCTTTCTCTCTTCAGCTTTGATATAATAATTTTAATCTTGTTCATATAGTTTAAACGCGGGATGTATTCTGACAGCGCAATGCAAAATGATTTTCTTGTAAACGATTCCTTTTCAAGAGCCCACACGCCATACCTGCCATATGAGTCATCAACAGCAACCGCCCCAACATAGTTCCAACCGAAATATTCAAACAAATCCGCCATGGCACTCGCTTGCTGCTTGTCCGAAGGCACGGTCCTGTAAAAGTGCTTGTAAAATGGTGAGCTCAATTCCTCACTGGTAGCACCGAAACTGATGGCAGGTACCCCCGCAACTTTGAGCAGACTTCCCACTAACACAGAACTTCCAGAATCGCCAGGCCCTATAACAGAGATCAGGGGACTTACATGTCCTGGTGCCGTTTTATTTGGTGGTTGTGACGCCAAGAATTCTTTGGGGCATACATAATTCGATTCCATATCTTTCACAAATTTATAAGTCGCATTCACAGCAAGGGAGGCGCTTTCACAGTAGTCATGTATGTCGTAGCCCAAAGTTATGTTTGGCAGTAGTTTAGGATCACTGTTTATCCTTTCAATGGCGTAAATCATAGCTTGCACATGTCCTAAACCGGGAGCATGAAAATCGCCGCAGTCCTCATTATTGGTACCTTTGTAGTGAAGAAAGAATAGGCCGCGCAGGGTAAAGTTGCTATGTTCTGGCCCTTGAATGTTCTTGCTGGAAATTTTGTTGTGATGTTGCGCTGTGACTGGGAAAAACAAAGTCAAGACGAAGAAGATTCCCAAAGGCTGGGTGTACTTCATTTTCCAGTACTTTAAAGTCTCCAAAACTCGTCTCTTCTCTGCTCTGACTATCTTTCGATTGTTGTATAAGGGAGCTCGTCAATTCAAAGCTTTCAGTTTTCTTTTTACCTTGACTACAGAGAAAATGAAAACATTTAAAAGAAGTTAGCGCTATCTTAATCAAAGGCCTTTGACTGGCTTTAGATTTCACCGAGTTTACAATGAACTGCTGATAAGGCATCTGATTATGGAAGCGCGCTTAATTAAAAAAGCTTTCTATCAAAGGAGGCTGACAATTAGGTGTTGAAAATAATGTGCAAACTGGTTCTTTAAGCTGTCCAAATGAACTAAGAAAACAGCTAGAATGAATGTCTCCATTTAAATAATTCAGCTCGGTTCCAGATTGAATAATCTCACAATAAAAGGCATCTTTGTGAAAATCAAATTGTGTCTTCATTAATAAAAAAATTGAAGGACGTATAAACATATCCCCACCCCACATAGGAAAAACCCAGGGGCGTGTTTTGGTTTTGCTACTGGATGATCCTGTGAGGAGATCTCCTATTACATTATATGTCGTATTGTTATTCAAAATGGATTTTAGTACGAATCGTTATAAAAAACACTCAAAAGTGCAAAAGTGCAAAACATCCAATTTTTCTCCCCCAAAAAAAATGACTCGAAGGCATGTTACTTCTGATCATAGCGACCCATCGTTACTTTAAGGTTTTATATCAAAATGTGTGGCATACCTAATAATAAATTTTGTTTACCTAATATGACTTTTTTTAAATGGCTGATTGTCAAGATTTGTGAACCTACAGTAGTTAATGTGTATTTATAAATAGTCTGGTAGAGTTACCTCCCCCCCCTTCCCCCACCCCCCCAAAAAAAGAAAAAAAAAAAAGACAGAAAGAAAGAAAAGAAGAAGAAGAGGAACACCTTCACACGTCACCCAATGTATCAGCTGCTCCGATCCAAGATTCAATCGAAGCTCTCATTCTGGTTTGATCTATTTCAAAAATGTAGATTACCTCTTTTCAATTTCAAATTCAGGTGAAGAAAATAGTACTTTGGTCAGACATTTATTTGATTGGTCCAATTGGGAACTAAAATTCACAAAATACTAAATCTTACCCAAGCAGTCCATACTTCTTTAATCACACAACGTTAGCCATTTGTCTCCTTCTTCCTCCATTCTTTTTGCACTTATGGACCGTACTATATAATTAACTAAAACTTTTATTGCTTGTGTGAAAATGAGTATTTTGATTTTTCAGTAATTTAATCGATCGTCTTGAATTAACACCACTTTCAATTCCTACACGAAGACATTCAAAAATTACGTAACGATATTGTTATTTTACATCTTTCTCTATCCAACTCTCTGTAAACATTATAATCCTTCATGTTTTCTTTCTTTATTTAGTCCTTAAATGTATTTTCGTTTTTCTTTAATTAGTTTTGTTGCTGCGGAGCGACCGAAGGGAGCGAGCAGCAACATAATCAGGATTTAAAGGAAATATATTAGGGGCGATGAATTCTCGAATTCATCACTTTTTACCACAATGCATTGCATTTAACCACACTTTTTACCACAATGCATTGCATTTAACCAGAGTGCATTGCGCCACGAACAACTCAAATAAAAACACGGGGAAGTTCGGTGGGTGAGAGAGTGCATCGTTCGCTGCTCAGACTTAGAGTTTTCTTTGTGGCAAATTTTCTACAGCACGGTTAGAGGTCTTACCAAATTTTAAGACACGCAGGAGTCTTTCAGATGAGTACGATGGTTAACTTGGGGATTGGATTTCAATTCAAGAGCCTTTTTTGACTCAAGAGCCTTTTTTCTCTTCGACTCCGCAACACTGGGGATATACAAATTCCAGCTTGCTAGAAGGTGATGTGAAAGTGAGGAAATGTCATGCAATGCTATTCTTTATAAGAAACTGTATGAGCCGAAAATGGATGTGATTTTGACCATTCGCTTCAAAATAACAGCAGAAATCGAGATAACAAAACATATGTTTTGTGTCCTACTTTGCAGACGAGGACGTGTATCGGCGTTTTGAAAAGCATAATTATGTTCTTTCATTCATTTATTGCCATGGAATATGCGTTTACATTGTTTTTTCACTGTTAATAGCTCGGTTAATGCGGCTGGCGATCATCTTGCCGGCGGAAGTTTCATGGAAAAGGAATAAAATGAAAGACTTTTCCTAAAGACTATGCTATCAGTCTCTGTGGTGTAGTGGTTAAGTGTAGTCGCGTCGAGTCGAAGGTGCCGGGTTCGAATCCTACTGAGTTATTTATTCCTTCTTTCTTTTTTTTACCCGTTTTTTTTGTTGTTGTTTTCTATAAATATATAGCTAAATAACTGTTACTTAATAAAGTGCAACGAACAGCAAGAAAAGTGTTGTGTTTCCAGAGAAAATATCGTGCCCCGTATATTAAAGATATGGATAAACGATCTGAATTTCTATTATTTCCTACAATTTACTGTGGGAAAACCAGAGTTGATAACTACTTGATCATTTTCTAAACAACGTTCCCACGAGTTCTTTCTATAGACTGATAGTAATTATTCTAGTACTTTCCAACATGTAAATAGGACATTCAATGTCATTTTTGATTCTTTTAAGTCTCACTGCCTAACTAATGCCACTGAGTATCAACAGAATGTGCCGCAGCATTACTATCTTTTAGATACCCTAGTTTTTAATGATAAATATATAATAAAAAAAGCATCACGAAATTCTTAGTAAACTAGGCTTTGTTCTCTATGACGAACCCTCGGGAGCCCCATGCATCATGCAGTCACCCCACCGTTGAAATAATAGGGACCTTAAGATCCGAGGACGGCGACGGGCAGCGAAAACGTCCTTGAAAAAGTTAATTCGCGTTTTTTCAATCTTCATCGCGATTACTCCAAGTCACTAACTTTGTTAAATGTAGGTGAACCCTCTTAAAATTGAATTCCTAAGAACCATATCCAAGCTCAGAAATAGAGACGAAATTTCGTCGTCGCTTGTGTACTTCCTTTGTAAAGCGTCGTAGTCGTGCAGTGACGGCAAAGAAATGAACAAAAAAGGGTGATACCTGCAAAATTGTTGTTTTGGTTATTAAAACTATTGCTTTTTTGACGTCCTCGTTGCCGTCGCCGTCGTGGGATCTTAAGGTCCCTAATTGATGGGAAGGGTTGTTGCAATGTCGTATGTCTTGTTTGCAAAATCATAGGAAATTAAGGGGCAAAGTTAATCAGATAATGAATATCAAGAAATTATCTCGAGTTGCTTATAGTGTTCAGATTTTTTCTGTTTTAAATGCCCTTGGATAGAGGACAATATATATTTTCAGTCTTAAAAAGGTCTTAGAATTTCAGACTGTCCATCGCAATAGTCTTTAGAAATCAAATAAAGTTAGTCGAAAAGATTTGATAAGAATCTCCGCCCTTTCCTGTCCGATTACTTGTTTATATTTTTCCTCTGGCAATTACCACCAAAGTACAATTTACAATTTCTGCAAGTGTCAAATAACATTTCGTTTTATTCAGTTCTCTTTCATCTCGAAGATTTACATAGTTTAACTTAAAGTTACATCAAAAACGGCTCATCGTTGAATTAAACGCTGTTCCCTATATAGCGAAGATTTTAACACTATGAACTCTTGGGCTTGTTTTCTGTTGGCTCTCAATCGTCTTTCAGCTCCATCTCCCGGTAACAGTCCAATTTCCGTGCAGCTTCGCACAAACTTCGTCGATAGCTGATCACTTTTCTCTGGGAAAAAAGGATGTAAATAAAAGCATGGTTACGAAAAAAAAATTAGAATTTGATCATTATTATATATAGCGATGCTAAGAGCACCTTCGATGTGCGGTCATAAGGATACCAAAATATTTCTAATGAATTTTTCGCTTTTTGTCGATTGTTGTTTACCTCGCTTCTTTTGCCTACGTCCATACAGTCAGATCCGTCGGGTCCGAGGGACACTAGGAGAAGAGCAATAAACACGACAGATAACAATACTGATTTCATTTTCAGGACTCGATCTTTTGTCAGTGAGGCTGTACTTAGTTTAAAGGAGTGAAGAACAAATTGGATTGTTGCTACTGCGTGGGACATCTTATATGGACTTGCTGTTGGAGCAATTAATCAAATTGTGTTAGATTAATATTAGAGTCGAAAGCTACCAAGGTGAAATTATAAGCTATTACCAAAAGGGCGGATGGTCAAATTGTTCTTTGGTTGCAATTAGACGAAATTTTGCTTCGAGATACTAAATGCCTAATTGCTGCTCAAATTAAAGAAATTGTGTTAGCTTCTATTAGTAACATTACTATTAGGAGTACAATAAGGTTACAAAGGTAAATATAATAAGATAAATATTGAAAGTTTTATTATTATTATTATTATTATTGTTGTTGTTATTATTATTAGTCAAATAGACGGTGAACTTGCACGGAATTACCTGGGGCTTGACATGTGATTAATAATTCGGAAGGAAATAATAAGTCACAAATTCATCTCACCTCAAGGTGTATTTCTGCACGTGTCACGTGCAATCATGCTCACCGCGGAGTAAATAAATGATGTCTTCAATTTAGTCTCCCATTCAGACGTTTTCCCTCCTCAGGCAATCTTCAGACTAAAGTTATATCATTTAAAGTTGAAAGAAATACACGGGACAGGTTCACGGTTAAGCGCATGCTCGTGAATCGTTTTTTTTCCAATTTATTATTACTTCTATCGGTTAATAATTCCACTCACATGTATCTCAGCAATCTCAGAGTGTATTTCAAAGTACAAGTGTATTTCAGAGTAACGAAGAATGATGGAGGAGTGCTAAAATCGCAAAAAAAAACTGGTGGATTATGCCAACACTACCAACGTTGAATTTTTTGTTGAACCGAAGGTTTTATTCCATGGTTGATTAATTTATAGCTATTTGCAAATATTTAAGTTACTCGACTGCAAGTGACTGTCGGGGGAGTGTGCAGATTGGTCCTTTGACAACATTATGACATCATCATATTGCTCGCATAGACGATGCAGCATGTATACAGCATAGCAGAAAAACAGCATTTTGATTAATGAGCATGCGCTGAACCGTGAACCTGTCCCTTTAAGGCATGACTAAACAAGGCATCCGTGAGTTACCCATAGTTTTTTCTTTGGTTTACCATACTGGCCCCTGGATAACCACAATGAATTTAAAAATGTACAGTTATATTTTGTATATATTTTATAAAAATATTCTTTGACACTTAATTAAAGTGTTTTCACTTTTATTGAGAACTAGAACAAATTGGTTGAAACACTTGTCACAATCAAGCATGCGCAGTAAGGTCATATGATGGCTCTCTCTCCTCTTTACGTACGGCACTATTGTCAGCTGATCTATCTGGGTAATTAATAAATTACTGAAAATAAATTCTACAAAGCGAAACTCCAGAATGATCTCCAGTCTTCATACTATGAAGATAATTTAAAAGTATAAAGAATATGAAATCCTTGCCACCGGCTTTAGGTTTAATTTGCCATTTATATAGTTATTCTTTATTTCACTTGCTCATTTTAAGATAACACATGAAGTGGTGCTTCTTAAGACCGTTCATTTAAATTTCTTTTTACAATAAAAGCCAAGGCTTTATCTCGTTTAACGCATCTAATACATGTATATGTGCTGATTATTCCCTTGCTTCTTGCCACGATGGCATATCTTCTTGCTCCTAGTCGCAACTCAATTTCCGCGCAGCTTATCACAAACGTAACATAATTATTATCATCATCATCGTCACCATCATCCTCGTCATTATCAAGCTTTTCAATGTATCTGTCTTAAGTAAAGCGCCATTTTACTAGGCCAAAACCAAAATGCTCGATCAGATCGTGTGGAAAGACTTTATTAGGACCGCCCGGGATCATTCCCGGCCTAAGTAAGTAAGTAAGACCAAAATATTGTACAACTATCCCGCGATGGGGAGGTGTACAGTAATTTTCAAGGAGTTATAATAACTCCTCTAGTGGGGTTAATTTTACTCCTTACAGTGGAGTTATTCTTTGGTGAGTTATGTTAACTCCAAAAAGGAGTTTAAAAAGAACTCTTTTTCAGGGGTAAAAATGACCCCAGGTATTGAGGAGTTAAAATAACCCCCAAAAAGGAGTTATCCTGTACCTAAAATTTTTACTCTACTTTCAGGGTTAAATTAACTCCAAAAAGGATAAAAAGAACCCATGTAACGAGCAAAAATAACTCCATTTTCGGAGTTATTTTAATTCCAGACCGGGAGGAAAAAGAACTCTTTTTCATGATTAAAAATGACCCCAAATTTGGAGTTAAATTGGGAGTTGAAGCAACCCCCCAAAAGGGGTTATCCTGTACCTAAAATTTTTACTCCATTTTTGGAGTTATAATAACTCCTAAAAAATTACGGTGTGAATAGTGCGCGCGAAGCGTCGAGGTATAAATCTAGCGCTATGAACCGACCCTGAGGGGGATAGTTGTTTTAGTATTTACCAAATCAGTTTACTTGAGTTTGTTTACGTACGTTTCAACTGACAGTATTTTGGGGATCATTTTTTCTTACGATTTTGTTGCAAATTCAGCGAGAAAATTTTTTTCCATCGACCAGTAAACAGCGACAAGCCAAATTTTGTCTCTTACTTGGTATTTTTTGGCACAGCTACTTCAGTTACCGCTAAAATTTCATCTTTCGAAACTGTCGCGAAACGAGAAGCCATTTTGAATCCCGCCCCAAAACAGTGAATGTCCAATGATATTTCGCGTTACGGGAGCCAATCAGAACGCGAGAAAATTGCTAGCCACTGATTTGGTGAATACTAATAGTAGATATCTATTAACAAGTTTATCATATAGTTAGAACCCTTTTCTTCAAACATAGTTATACATTTTTTTTTCTATTTTCTTGTACCGTAATATTATTATTATTTCAAGAAACCTACTCTCCCTGGCTTCTTGTTACTGGGCTGCCCGGCAAGCCCAGTCATAAAATGGGTTTTCGGTCGTCGGTGTCACAAAGTGGTCATCCGGGGGAGGCAAAACACGAGGGTCTGGTACGTAGAAACGATGTTCTCACAAATGGTTTCATAGGGTTTTCTCTTGCATGAACCCTTGCATGGATACTTTTTGTACCTTGTCTGCGCTCCCCCTGAAAAACCCACAAGGCGTTGCGAACCTGAAGAAGGCTATTTGCTTTGTTCGAAGCTATTCGATCATGGGAGTAACTCTATAATTTTTTTATTGTTCGAGTTTAAGTCAGTTAGATGATGTTGGCGCTGGGAAACTCAGTGAAGTGCTCGCGTTGCATTCAAACCGACACGCCGTTCACGGTAGGTTCACACTAAAAGACTGAAAAGATGACTGTGAGCGTCAGGTTTGGAACGCCGTGGCTGCTTCGTGAACTATCGATCGATGTAGTACATGAGTAATTAAGAAGCACAATTTATGAGCAAAGTATTTCACCAGTTGACGACACTATGGCTGAAGACTTGATTGTAAGCCGTCATAGTCAGGGAAGCGAACAACTCAGTTGCCAATGAATGGCAGATGAATCCTGATGTGAGGCACGTCCATAAGCGAGGGACGTGACAACTTTGCCATGTTAGAAGACTGGCTTTTCCTTTAAATATTTCCTTCTATTTAATGCAACACACGCCACTTTGGAGATCTAAATTTCGTATAATGAGGATAAAGAAGACACGGACAAAAATAGGAACTCTGAAAATTTCGCACACAAGTTTAAAGCTTCTCCGGGACATCCCATCCGGGAGGTTCACAGAGAGCGACTTGAGGAAAATAGGAGCTATTACTGACAAGGTTTGGTGACTGAGTAGAGCATACAAGTGTACCCCACGTCGAGGTTTCAGGGGGTTTGCTTTTGTTTGTATGTGTATCTTGCTAAGCTTTTGTTATTAAATTTGTACAAGATCTTGTGATCACAATTCTGTGTTTTCGCCCATTCAGCAAGCACGCTATATTGATGTCAGCGTTAGCGAGTTTCAGAAACATGGCTTTGAAAATTTTCAGCTCTCGTGATGTTTCTTGATATTTCTTTTACCATTTTATGGAGATGTAAACTGAAGTCACCGCAAAATGGAAACTTAAAAAAGCGTATAATCCATTTATCTCGAAACATAACACACATGATTTATAACGACCTTTATTTTCGTAAAGGTGTTTTGAATAAGAACGAACTCAGTCAATATGAGGGGCAAAAACAGCATTAATATAAATGAACCATAGGATTTTGACTAATATAAGGGTCAATTATTGTGCATTGAGATGAATCGCGTGAAAAGAGAGACTTCGCTTGAAGATGTGATCAGAAGTAAACAAAGGCATAATAGTGCGTCACGTTCGGTCTTTTTAATATCCAAGCAGTCACTGTGAATAGTGTTTCCATATTGTTTAGCTGGCACAAAAACCTCGGACGAGTTATAAAGTGGCATAGTTTCCATGAAGAAAAGTTAGTCTTGGGTGAGACAAACAGAACTGGAGCGAATTTTTAACTCACATCGGTATCAGGTAAAAAATATTTTATCGATCGTTTCATCTATTTACATTGTTTGAAGAAGTGCGTGCTAGTGAACGCAACATGCGAGCGAGAAATCTTTAAACTTGTTTAGGTCTCAAAATGCAAAGGATTTTATTCCTTTAAGTTAGACAAAAATACCGTGAGGAAAATCTTAAAACTGAATACTTTTCATCTTGTGGAAAAATAGTGCGTTTTCATGTAGACTGTGGACCGCAAATTAGGATCGCACTTTTCACAAACATGCGAATTCTGGAGTTCAGAACCCAACCGACGATTGCGTTTTTCGCTGCTGTCAATCATCTTAACGGACCTCTTAGGAAACAAAACTTTACTTCACGGGCTCAAAAGGTCATGGTTTGTGATTTGTGGATTTCGATCCGTTCTGTGTGTTTCTCTGTTTTAAGGTTCGTTGCTTGTGATCGTAATTATGATTGACGGCAGCGATAAACATAATTGTGAAGGTGGCTTTTGAACTTTAGAGTTCGCATGTTTGTGAAAAGCGCAGTAAAGTCTCCGTGCAGTTAGTGAGGCCCCTGGATCAGGCGGGATCAATGGGCAGTTAACTGTCTGTTTTAGTATACTTCTGGTTTTCATACAATACAATATTTCTGTCTAGTGTAAATCAGCTCAGTCTGTCGCATTTTATGCTCGTAGAAGGACAACAATTTTTGGAATTTCCGGTTACGTTAAATTAGTCATGTTATACTGTCACGCTATATTTTGGGGCACAGAGGGATTGGGGGAGGGGTGCGTGGAAATAATGTAAATTGTTTCCTGTTTAGAATTAATGGCTAACTTGTTTATTTTTATTCACAATGGTGGAATTTAAAAGTTATTATACAGCCCCCACTTAAAAATGGTACTCTTTTTTTTTGGTTACGAAAGTCTTTCAAAAGGGTACAATGTTCTGAATGAGTTTATGTTTCAGTCTCACATGAGATTCTGTTGCATGCAATGGTTGCCAACAAGGTTTTATGGTTCCAGCCTGGGCACCCGGCCAGTGGAACAACTTTTTACCGTATAGCCACCCCTTTTTCGTAAATGGAAAGCCCCTATCAGAAAAAAGCCTGAGTAGCCCCCTCCCCTTTGCAGCCCAGTTAAAAATCGCCTTTCGGCGATTCTTGTTTGAATTGAAATGAAATGTTTTTTTAATTGAAATGAATTTTTTTAATTGAATTGAATTGTTTTTAATCGAAATGAACAGGAGCCTATGAAATGAAATGACTTGTAAATAGTGCTTTGACCGAATAATTTTTTTTTCAGCAAAATTAATTGTAAATAGGTTTTAATAGTTACCTTTGTGGTCAATAAAAGGTTATTATTATTTTATTAAATAATAATAATAATAATGATAATTATTATTATTATCATTATCATTATCATTATCATTATCATTATCATTATCATTATCATTATCATTATCATTATCATTATTATTATTATTATTATTATTATTATTATTATTATTATTATTAGTGATGAAGAAAGAATCCATATCAAACAGATCCCGGCTTCCTGGTTCTTCTTCCCAAAGAGCGCACGCTTAACCAATAGAGCCGAAAAGGCAATAGTTTTGAAACTAAGTAAAAAGCAGTATCGGTTAGCTGCCGTGAAAACATTAGGGAACTGCAATACTGTGGACAGAAAAGGAACAAGAGTTTCCTAACCAAAGTTTCATGATATCAGTTGATTCTTTGGACTTTAATTTTTGAATAACGACTCTTTTTTGTTTGCTTAAGCAGACGAGAGTGGCTGCAAGTAGGGCCTAAGACGTTCTGCTCCACATTGAATTGATGGCAGCTTTATACTGCATCTTACCATCTCCAGATGCTCCTGGCTTCTTTTGTTGACGGCTTAATTGCCTCACGAATAACTTTAGCTTTTTGGTTCTGAATTTGACAATTCTTTTAATAACCTTTCTGACTGAAATACTGAAATATAATGACTTAATTATCGCAAGGCAAATGTAAAAGGTGATCACTATGATGTGTTATAAAAACTATTCAAGAAACTTATCAATAAGCTTGCTATAATTTGTTATCAATTATTACCATAATTATGAATGCGGCGCCAACTCGGCTACAATTAGGAGCGCGAAAAACTATTAATAATTAACGAAAACGTTTATTGAAATAATGAGGATTCACTTTCAAAACAAATTAAAAGGTAGTTTAAAGCGAGACGCGAGCGGGAGGGAATATATCGATTAGTTTATTACGTAGCGTCCATGAAACCTGAAATTACTGAATTTCAGCTAACGTCACGGCGGCCCTGTTGGTTGAAGAAAACAAGAGCGTTTCTCTTCGCTGGGAATATGCGAATTCTACAGCTATGCAACAAAAGTGCTTTTTACATGAGAAAAGAGTGCAATCCCCGCATGATTTTTTTGGTACACCAACGTGGCCTCTGTTTCATTGTTTTGTACACCAATAAGAATAATAATGATAATAATAATTTATCATTTACAAGGCGCAAAATAGCGTTTAAATATATGATCTAATGCGCAATATGGCCGCAATGACGTCTTGTAAAACGGTTTAATCAAACAACATTGCTGCCTGATCACATGGATACAAATAAAGAATAATTATCGACGAACGCATTTTGTAACTGTTTTTCTTTTTTTGGAATGTTACGTTTTAACTAGGGTTTAAAGGTTCATCATGGACACCAATAATAATTATAATAATGATAATAATAATTTATCATTTACAAGGCGCAAAATAGCATTTAAATATATGATCTAATGAGCAATATGGGCGCCGTGACGTCTTGTAAAACGGCTTAATCAAACAACATTGCCGCCTGATCACATGGATACAAACAAAGAATAATTATCGACGAACGCATTTTTTAACTTCTTTCTTTTTTTGGAATGTCACGTTTTAACTAGGGTTTAAAGGTTCAACATGGAGATGACACAGCCACAGTATATCCATTCTTGTCTTTAATGAATAGCAGTTTATTTGTTTATCATACGCGGTTTGCTAAACTTTGGTGACACTTGGTCGCTATGATTACGGGATATGATGTGAAAATTAGCGAAGAAGCACTTGGTTTAGACCTCCAGCATGTAAAATGCTTACTTTCTCTCGATATGTTTCTCCCTTAACATAAACTTGTATTTCTCTGTATTAAACTAATACACTAGAAACTTCTGCCATAATCGATTAGCTTAGAGCAGTGGTATTTCAGCTTAATTTGAAATACCGTCCTTATTCTACATGTGAAAATTACACTGAAACCTTTGTGGGTAGTAGTAATATAGGTTATGGCTAGAGACAACAATTGCCCCGTTGACGACAGAAGAACAATTAAACCTGTGAAACTGTGTTGCAAATGGAGGATCTGAGGAAGGTAATGGCAATTGGAAGTAAAAACTGGGTGGTTTCTTTATGTTGCGGACAGGTGCAATCAGCAAATGACGTAATACAAAAGTCTAAACAGATACTGAACAATACCCACCCAAAACGAATAAGACACCTACTCATCAGTTGCTTCAATATGCAGCATCAACTGGATACACCCAGCAATTGGTAAAACCATAACTGGAAAGCCGACAAGTTTATCTAACATTGTTGGATGATTTTGCTTAAGAAAGTCAATGAATAGTTTAAAAAGCCGGGGTGAAGGCTTAGGGGTTGTTGCAAATTTAAATAACATCGTGTTCAGTTATTTATAAGTGACATGTAAGTGAAAGTTCATTACCTCTATTTTATGTAGTTGGCGTACTGCTAATTAAAGACGTGGAGTTACTCTCTAATAGCGTATAGCAAAAGCGGAAGTTTAGTGCATAATAAGACGATAAAAATTCCAGGATATAGTAGTCAATGACGAGGAAAATACTTCTTTTAACGAAACAAATAAATATCTTTAAGAAATATTCTATAAGTAAGGATTCTGACATCGACGCTACAGAGCCCGAATTGTCAAAGAAACAACATGGATCTGTAAACGGCCTGGACGCAAGTAATAAATAGACTGGAGAGAGTCGATTTCTCTCTCTTTTAAACGCCTCCCATATCTGTTAAACGCCAGCGCTTGGGCTCCTAAAAAAACTAAGCAGCACGATCGTCAATTAGACAATTTAAGGTACATGTATGAGGTTCATTACCTTCAACCTTCAATGATTTTTCTATTCCGCAAAAACAAATGGTCTGCATCTTAGTTTCATTGATGGATTAAGAGGTTTGATGGCAAACTATAGGAAACTGAAATTTATTGGGAATTGACTTGAATTTTGAGAATCAGATAAGTAATTCATAACAGAATCACATCTGCAGGACTGGCGTATATAAATGCATGTACGTGTTGGTTGAGTGCAACAACAGCACGCTTAATATTAACGTGGCAACAAGTCGGTAGCTTTATCCAAACAGTCCCACATAGATTTTTAATGTTTAGTTTCTAAATTGCTCGCATATGTGTAAGCTTTGTAAATTTTCTGACTCAGTTTTTGGCCGAGAGAAAGATCTGGGTATCAGATCAATATTTAAGTGTCTCGTCCCATGTAAAGCAATCCGGATTCTCGAATCCGGGAAATCTTTCCTTTTGAAATTGGGAATCGTGGGCTTTAGAATCCGGAAACCAGCTCAAGGATTGGAATCAAAAATCTAGTACCTGGACATCTCCGAGATCTATACGGTGGAATCCAGAATCCATGAGATAATGGCCCGCTTGGATTACTTTTCAAATTTGGGACAAGGGTGAAAACGTTTAAAAAATAAAAGAGAACCATGGGCACAAAAACAAAATATTCATAACCTATACAATCTTTTTTTATTTGTATTTCTGTTTGTATGTTGGAACTTTATTTATTATCTACGGACTTTTTGTTTCACTACATCCTACAAGTTATACGTTATCACTGCTCCTGCTGTCGATCTTTCTCTAATTCCCGCTTGCATGCGCAATCCAACTCACGAGCGGCTGCACAAATACTGCGCCGGTAGTTCAGCCTCGTGTCCTAAAAAAAAAAAAAAGAAGGTTGATTTCTGTATTAGAGGGAAACCATTTTAAATACATGTAGGCACCCTGTGTTAGAATTTATTAGCCTCAGAAATTAAAGTCATGAACTTTCCATACCATATTTTGTGTAATAATTAAACCAGTCTTTGTGAGAGGTGAACTTTATTTTAATAAAGCTCCCCTCTCACGAAGCAAGCACGGGTTTAATCATCATGAAAGGTTTTTCTGTAGTTTAAAGATGACCACAATTTTTTTTGGGTGATGACAAACACCAATTAAGCAAAAAACATGACAATGAACACTAAAAAGGCGGAAAGTAAATTTTCGAAAGTTGGTTTAGCGTCCTTCCTGTGGGAAAAGTTGTCATCTTAACAATCATTACAAAAAAAAATGGCTTACAATAAAAAAAAAATGGTCAATACCTTCTCACGTTTGTATTTGCCGTTAAAAACCCCTGACGTCGTACAATCAGTCTCTTTTACCAGCAGTGAAAACAAGAGCGTCAAACAAAGAAGAATCAATACTGTAGATTTCATTCTCGTTGTAATGGCCGGTGGTTTTGTGAGCTCCTTCTTAAGGGAGGTACAGAGCACAATAGATCAGGTTGTTTTAACACACGTTCCCTCTTATAAACGGGCCAGCTACCCATGCCATGCACCTGGAATGCCACTGACAACACTTAAAAAAAGAAATTTTTATACTCCCTTGAAACGTCAGCGTTAATTGCCTTTTACAAAGGCACCGGCCTTTGCAAATGTTTGCAAATGGTTTTTTAATTTCTACAAAGGTAACCAAGTTATAATTGGATAAATGAGACGGCACACGTAGAACGAGTAATGATCTGAAAATTTTCAGTGACAGCTTCATTACGATTAATACAGCGGTCAGTGTTTATTTACCAATGCTCTACGTAGCAATAATATGTCTTGTTTTTCTTTGCCGTTTTCTTTTCTTTGCAATTTTGGTTTGTCAGGTCCTTCAGGTCTTCCTTATCTTATAATTATGGTTCCATATTTTCTATCCCATATCACTTCATCTTTTACTTGTTTGCATGCATATCAACATGGGGTGCGCAATTAACACAGTTTACTTTTAAAAAACCTTTTAGTCTTTTTTTCTTAAAAATAAGTATTAACAAGATTCAACGAGGTTGGGAACGAGGTTGTATATGTTGTGGTTCAATTTTATTCTTGGTATAAATTTCATTTTCCTTTGTTTCAAACTCATTATTATTTATCATCTTCATTACCATACCTAAAAGCAAAGGAAAACAAAATTTGAACCAAGAATAAAATTGAACCTCAACATATACACATGTAGGCAGTAATGGCGCCTGTAAAACAACTAATACAGGTATATCTACCTGTTTTTTTTTTTTTTTTTTTTTTTGTTTTTTTTAACCTTAGTCCTTGGCGCTAAAACAGTGTATAACTAGCTTTTTTTTTTTTAATCCTTAGTCTTTGGCGCTTGAAAAACAAAATTTTTATTTTGTTCGTAACGACAACTAACTGATATTCGTGGCGTATAAACAGTTGAAACAAGCTGCTAAGATAAGAGGCGTCTCCAGTATGGAAAAACGATGTCGACTGCCTCGAGATCCGACCAGAATTCCCGGGGAAAAACAAAATTACTTAGTTTAGTACTTTTTTCGTACTGATGATTCTGGTAGTGAATGGCCGTTACCTTTAATGACCTATGCATTTAGCTTCTTTTTCTTTCCAGCGTGGTGCACATTTGAAAATATCAATCCATGTCCGAGAAAATTCATCACCAGGAAAATTAACTCTCCGACGTACAAGGGGGCAATGCCAACTCCCCCCCCTCCCCCAATAAGATTATCCTGAGTTTGTTTTTCCTAGAGGATAAAACGTTAGCACCTGACGTTTTCAGTAGCTGTTCGTTCATCCCTCGCGCATATTTTGAGGCAAGTTTAGTTATAGTCCGTTGCTATGGTTACAAGATATGACGTCATAAGTACAAGGTGTCAAGCCATTTTTGGGTGAAAATGTATGTTTTTTTCAACTTCTTTCAACAAAAAAAGCAAATCTTGTGGCTAAAATCGTGCAAAGTGCTTATTTATACGTTACCTTTTATGTGAAGCACAAAAAAATCACCATTTCTAACGGTTTTAACTTGATTTCCAATTTGGAAAAATTAGCATAGCGTCAAAACAGTGAGTGTTGTAACGCTGAGATTTGGTCGGTCCGTAGGCTAGATTCGTCTCGAAGATGTTGCAGGGAATCAATCTTAATGAAAGTTTCAGACATTATTATAAACATCATGAAGATTATGTGATAAGGTTTAAAAAGAATTCTGTCGAGCCGTTTAAGAGATAATAGAAAAGCGCTAGAAGTCAAAATTTAGAATACGGTTGCACTTAGAAAGGAGAAAAAAGAAAACAGGTCAGTTTTCAGGATCGCAAGAAAGGAAATAACCAAAATTACCATGCATCGAAATATGACATTAAGCAGCCTTCTGACCCTACTTATGATTAATTTGAGTTATTTAGAACTTTTATTAAAAAAATAGAAAATTATCACTGCTATTGAAAACATAAGGTTTGAAATATATTAACGTTTCATTTGAATTTAAACAAACAGAATTTTAATTTTTACTTGTCATGGAGGTTATTTGTTAAATACCAAATCTGTAAGTTCCTGGTGTCGGATTTTCAGTAGCAGGTCTAGATCGCGCAAAATTTGGATTGAATCGATTTTAAAGGTTTTTGTTATTGTTGTCATAGTGATATCGTTTTTTTTTTCTAAAAACTGCATCTTGACAAACTTCAGGTCATAGTCAATCACTGGTGAAAATTTTGTGGCGATCGGACAAGGACAAAAACACTTTTAAGGCGATTGAAAAACATCGGTATGGTCTGCGAAAAACTATATCGAAACACCTTAACAAACGTACAGATTTCATGCTATCAACTGCATATAGCTGCTTCTGTTCGTTGACCATTAATAAGCTGCATCAAGAGAGAATATTGCGTTGCAGAGAGGGAAACGCCCAGTCTAGCCCCTGGGGTCATGTAAATTTCACCAAAGCTATTTTTAGACCAATTAAACCCGTGAAACTAACCTGAAGTTTGTTCCCGAAGAGGTCCGCAAACTTTTACTCAGTATTACATATTCACTGGAGAGAATTCAACAGCCGCAGGAGCCGAGTAATGGGCTCCTGATCTGATAACCGTCATCAAAATATTTTGAATTGTTCGGTTTGCTTTGAGGCAGTCGTGGGTGGACTTGATGACGTTTTCACCAATCGATTAAAATGTGCGCACGTCTCAGGAATGAGACCTCTAAGACCGTTTACCTCTGAAAGTTACTTTAGTGATATTTACTTATTCACGCAGACGCCCTAAGATTCCCTCTGAGTCCCATTATTCTCTCTAGGCTGCGTTCATCTCAAAAAAGGCCTTTGAAACTTTTAGTATTTTACTCTCCCAACTTGCGTTTAGTAAATAGCAGTTTGTTTATTCATCAAACACGGTTTGACGATCTATGGTAAAAGTTGGTCGCTATGGTTACGAGATACTGACGACGTTAATAGTCATGAAGAGTCATTTTCTTCAGACCTTTAGCATGTAAATTACATACCTTCGCTCTGTTTTTTTTTTCCTTTCTTAGCATAAACTTGAATTTCTGGGAGGGGGTGGTTGGGTAGTGGGTGGTAGACCTGGTGCTTGAAAGATTGAGAAATCAAAAGCAAACACTTTATATTAATCAAGTAAACTAATATCAGCAACTGTCTTTATCTGTGTTATTGATTATCCTCCCTTACAACAATCCCTTACTACTGCATTTTTTCTCAAAAATGCAGGAGCGTGTCTTGTGTATTTTACATTTACTTGGCTAAACTTCTATAGTGAATGAGTAAGTAACAGCAGGTCAAACACTCAAGTTCTTATTGCACTGTAGGATGGTCAATAAAATTGGCCTAAAAAATTGGTTCACAAAAAATTAAAGTCATCTGAAAACGATGATTAAGGTATCAAAGCGTCGCCCATGACTCTGTTGCGTGACACTGCATCAACACGACTCACCTACTCAGAACTGTTTTCAAAGTATAACGCACCCGGAATTAGTGAGAAGATGACAAGGTCAGACTTTCACCATTTCAACTACTTGAATGTATATTTTTAAATAATGGTGACAAACAGAAGCGAGTACAACGCTATAAATGGCTTTCAAAAGCAAAAAGATGTAATTTGTAATACAAATATGGTCGACTAAGCTGATCTTTCTTAAATCGATAGAAGCAAATACAGAATGATGAGCACTGTTAACACTGAATATCTACACATTTGATTTTCTTAGAATGAAGCTTTTCCTATAAAAAAAAATGAAACTAAATTGAAAGCTTACGGCAAAACAATAAAAACGAACCTGTAGTAAACGCAAAATCGCGAATGTTTCTTCTTTTAACGAGTGTCACAAAATAGATACCAGTACCCGGGCGAGAGATACTGAAGGCCAGATCTGGCAGCCAGTCCCTCCAAGAGGGCGCCCAAAGCGTGAAATCGCATGGTGTCTAGAACGATACCCCTCAGGATCCCCGGGGGGCTTCAAAAGTAAGCGTTCTCCTTTGTCGAACGCATTAAGCTATCGAACGCGAGGTTTTGGAGAAAATTTTGACGATTTTTGGTCGAGATATTGTTAAGCGAAGGTCTTGGATATTAGCCTTTTAGTAGAAGCGCTTTTACAAATAGAATTAATTCCAAATTCTTCAAACATGGGAAGGAAGAATATGTCTTTTTTCAGAGGACAAAAAAACTCTCGAGAGAAAGATATCCTTAAGTCTTTGGCTTGAAGAGTACGAAGACTATTTGTGGGAGGCTTGCACGCTTAATTTCGGTCCTTAAATCTCCGAAAGAAATTAACGATTAAGAAAGAATAACGTAGCCATGTAAAGCCTGGTTAAGATGTAAGTAGGAAACGTCAACTGCAGCTAAATGTGAAATGCGCTGCAGACAACAAAAGCCATTTTATTGTTAAAGAGTGCACAAAATTCATTTTGCGCGTATACCAATATTTCAATTTATCGGGGAAAAAGCATCTGGCTAGCTTAATTGTACAGAAAATAAATAAACCTGGGGCGCTAAAGAGAACATCAAAGCAGTAACATGATTTAATCTACATAATTAATCGTTTGATTTATTGTTTTATTTAGCCTTTAGTCATTATTAGTCTTCTTTGGCTTGCCATTGAAAATAACTTACGATGCACAATCAGTCTATTTTGTTAACATGCAGGTGCAGCCAAATGCCAGTACGTCAAAATAAGGAGAAGATTCACCACAGTAGGTTTCATTCTGATTCCCAGTACAGGTTGTTGTTGTTTTTTTCAAATTCATTGGTTCTGATCCTAAACTCCCCACTACCATAGAAATCACCTATCTCCCTACACCCCAAATTTTTCGAACTTGACTATCGCAAAATAATGATACTTTTAAACTTTCTAATCATTCTTTTCTCTCACTCCTCCATAAGATTATGATCATTCGTCACTTCCGCATTTCCCATAATGCAACTTATTTGTTCCCCCCCCCACCCCCTCCCCCAAAAAAAAATATTGCATAACCTTTGTTCTTCATTTCTTCTGGGTATCACAGCCGTCCAAAGAGAAATTCAAAACAATGCTTATGCAAAATTTTGGGGAGCAAACAAGGTGCATTATGGGAAATGTGAAAGTGGCGTATGATTATTATTACGATTATTATTATGATCATCGTGGCTATACCAGTGACGTGAAGATCTAACTTCATGACTTCCTCCCTCTGCACACAAGCTTTGCTTATCCTCAATAATACGTCTCGGATTAGAAGACAATAAGACGTTTTTGAGCGACGCACGTCAACCGAAAGTGGTCTTTTTTCATTTTTGGACGGTGATTTTGAGCAAATTTTAGAGGTAGTAAGTTTCTTCTGGTAGGCTGTGGGGTGAGTAGCAAACTAGTTGACTCAACACACGCGACTGACCCGAACACATGCGACTGACCGAACACAAACGAACGACGAGAATGGTGACGTCAACAATCATTTACAGACGACACATCAAATCTACTGGGACTCTGCGACATGTATTACGTATTCTACAGACTACAACGAATCACTTTAGAAAGCTGGTTTACTTACTTAGAACAAACGCCATTGGATCATAGTCAACAGTTACCGGCACCGGACAAACGACTCGTGGTCGAAATCAAGCAAAACTAACTACGAGACAACGACTGGAGAACTGACAATTTGACTAACAATAGACGACTGTTCAACTGTGACAATAGACGGATTGAAATGCTCCAATTGCATTACGAGTCTTCAAAGCCAATAACATCACGGCTTAACTCCTTAACTGACACACGACCAATAACATCGCGACTTAATTGACCAATCAGGTCAATAAACAGAGTATAACACCATCAACTGACGTGATATGACTCACTTTGACTCTGAAGATAACTACCACACAGGTTATCGAAACGTCATTCACTGTCAACGACAACAGTCCCATTCAGGGCTACGTTCACCCGGACGATCAAACTCAAACTACTTTTGAAATGACTTCTAGGTTCAAACCTGTCACAAAATAAGAACTTATTAAACAACCCTAATAGCCTAAATTTGTGCAGATTACCATTAATTTTATGTAATAACCTCTTGAGGTAATCTTTGGAAAATGCAGGTTCTCAGTCGCGGGTTTTTACTGTATTTCAGGGACTTGTCATGTGACCAGCATGGCATCCACCAAGTCTCCGAGCTCCTATGGAGGTTGATAGCCCCTGTTTCACTCGTTCTTTAATCTTGCTCACTCCGATATTTAATTGCACCCACACATATTAAACGGTTTTAATTGTTATACTCAAAGTGTTTAAAACAAATACATGTACTCATGACTGACCAAGTTGTCATGAGAGTGTGCAAAGATCATTCTTGGAGCAAGGTCGCGAGGACGCTATTCCCTCGCTCGATCGTTCGAGCGAGATTTTGCCCGCTACAACAATGACTAGTATAATAATTATGCTTTCGTGGAAACATTTCAGGTCAACGGTGATTTTAAAATTATCCCGGCTGGCAAATGGGCAAATTAAAGTAATAATCTCTTTACCTGTAATGACGACAGTAACTGTCCTTGAAATACAATACAACACACGTGCTGAGAATCAAGTTTGGAAACCTCTTCATGAAAAGTTCCCTGATACTGAGCAGTGAATGTTGTCCCCTTCTACCTTTGAAAACGTAAAAGGGTAAAGTTTGTTCCCCGTGTTTCTTCGAGGAAAGGTGACAGAGGATTAATTTGCAATTGCAGGTCGGGATTAATTTGCAATTCAACGTATTATTCTCTTTTTGTTGTCAAACGCGATAAGCAAGCCAAAAATCTCTATAGCCATTTTTATCATCAGTCGTAAATACCTTCTACTGTAAAGGAGTGTGGTAATTTTAATAATAATAATAATAATAATAATAATAATAATGATAATGATGATGATGATGATGATGATGATGATGATGATAATAATAATTGTAAATCTCAAGTATTAAATAATTGAAAAATTAACAAACGAGATTAATTGAATAAATAAAATCGTTTATCAGTGGGAAGTGGACGAGATTTGCAAGACAGAGAATCCATGCTAACCCCCCTTCCATTTAGAATTTTTTTTAAACAGTACCAGGTAAAATATAACCCGGATGTTGCGGAACATTTATTCATCTGGATTTTCAATAGTAAGATGTCTTTACTTCGCCGTCCACAAATTCACGAGTTTTCCTACATGTACTTAAATTCAGATTGCTTTTAAAACTGTGTGAAACACATTTATATAAACCTGAGGCTAATTTTAAGGTCCACAAAAATTTTGCTGCCCTTTGGATTTCAATTATTTACATTTTTTTTGGTCCTTATTGAATCGTACAAAAAATAATGCTATTGGAAATCATGAGTGTTAAATGGTCTCTATATCGGAGTACCGGGGAAAGATGTCACATTTACTTGAACACACGTTTGTTTTGGCGGCACGACGTACATGATTTCACTCGTTCGGTCCAAAGTCACACGTCAAGATGTTCCAATTTGAAATGTTCAGGGAAACCGTATTACTATTTTATAGGTATAGTGCGAAGTAAAGGAAATGCTTCGACCGATGCACAAAAATGCGTATTCAAAGCTCTAAAAGAAAGGCTATCAAGAGCGAGATCGATGTATTTTAGCTACATGTAAAATCCATCGCGTCTCAAAAAAAATCTTTTGATTTCAAATGAATACTTACATTTGTTTTGCTAAGTCTGAAAATGTTCTCGCGTTTAATTTAACAGAATACTTTTTTTTTTGTATTCTTTTCTCAGGCCACTTATTTTTATCCATTTATTTATTTTTTTTGGCAATATTCTACTTGAAGCTGCAGTGACCTTAGGACTGTAGAGAGTAGATAACCCCACAAACAGAAATATGTCTTTCACTTTTCATGCGACGAGGCAAGTGAATGCCTGAATGTGTAATCAGACACCTGGGTGCGCACGGCAGCTATAGTGTTCTGTTCTGGCTGATATAATATGACGTACATCTTGGGAGCAAATATACAACCTAGGAGGCCATAGGAACTCACTAATGTAGTGGCGCATGCCACAATGGCTCCACTCCAGTTCTCTAATCCCACAAAGTCGACTGGGAAATATATATGCTACAGTAGAAAGAAGGAGTATGTACATAGCCAGACCAATGTACCTTGCCTCGTTGAAATTTTCTGGCAGTTTTCTGGCCTTAAATGCTTGTATAGTAGAAATCAATGAAAGAAGAAAAATGTAGCAGTTGATTGCCACGTGAAGACCAAACCCGCCTCTGGAGCTATGCGGCTGACACGTTAGGAAAATGGACTCGCCTCTCTGAATTACCCGTCTAAGGGATGGTGGATCAAGAATCAGCCAAGAGGTCAAGAGACAAAAGACCACTCCGTTAAGTAAAACCATGAAACTCGCTTGAATTTTCGTCGTTAAGATGAGTTGCTATGTTTTCCTGTCGATGAGATTAGCGTGAAATACGCTTAGAATGCGGAGAGTTTTAATCATCAAAGTAGCTACGCATGTTCCCAATGCAGCGTAACTAAAACAACACCTCAAACGGCAAATCAAATTGGTTGGTTTAATCAAGCTCAGAAATGTTTGTGCAAAGAACATGGTTATAGAAAGTAGTAGAATTGCGCTTAGCTCACGACTTGAGGCCTTGACAAGAGGCGTTTCTCGGTATTTCAATAAAATAACGGACGAAAACAGTGTTAGTAGTACGCCAAGAGACACAAAGCCAGTTATAATTAAACCAGTGATGTCTGTTAACTTCATATTAGCAATTGGTAAATCTTCACATTTCGTTCGTTCATTGTTGGTTCTTTGATCTTTTGCACATTCTGAACAATTTGAAGATCCAGGAAGTGGATTTACTGATCCGATAGGACAATTTGTACACTCCCAACAACAAGTAGTTGTAGCAGTCTGCAATGTCCCAGGAGGGCATGCAAATGAACAGACTAAGGTCGGTATACTGGTCGAGTTTAAAAAACTGCTGCTCCATTTGATCTTTTCATTGTCAACGTGGAGTCTTTTCTTGAAAGTCTTATCCCATGAGCCCACAATTACTTTCTGGTATCGTTCATCGCCACTTCCAGATCGCTTTTGGAAGTTGATGATGTCATAAGACGAGATCAAAGGGTCACCGGCCCCGTCAAATTCAACCTTGCCTAGTAAACCTTGAAATGAAACGTTTCTTAAGTACAAATCGACATCAAGTGGTTTCACAGTTGCGCTAGTATCGGGACATTTGCCACCCGGAAGAAGACCATACGGTTCTACGCAGAAATATAGCTTATGAAGAGCGTGTGCAACGGCATACACTGCTTCAATGACATAAGGGAGGAAGGTATCGTACAATTTAGGAATTACTCGCCAAGACAATGTCGTGTTCTCTTTGCAGATATCCAAACCTTTAGATTGATTTACTGAACAATTCAATTCACCTCTCCATACGTCTTCCCACCAGTGCGAAAGGCGTTTTTCCTTTATATCCTTCGGGGCGAAAGTAGATAAATAGGATTCAAAGTCCTTGCTTTGGTAAAATCGGGGCTGTATTCCTAAGGATCCGTCTAGGATATTGAAGATAGTACGGACGTGCCTCGGTTGCTCAGATGCAAGGGCATCGCTTAAAAATCCAGGTACGGTCGAAAATTTGCTGCTTTTCTGCTTCTTTTAAAAAACTTTTTCCATAGCCGCCAAATAGCCAAAGTACAATGACTTTAACTTTTCTTTCTCTCTTCAGCTTTGATATAATAATTTTAATCTTGTTCATATAGTTTAAACGCGGGATGTATTCTGACAGCGCAATGCAAAATGATTTTCGTGTAAACGATTCCTTTTCAAGAGCCCACACGCCATACCTGCCGTATGAGTCATCAACAGCAATCGCCCCGACATAGTTCCAACCGAAATATTCAAACAAATCCGCCATGGCACTCGCTTGCTGCTTGTCCGAAGGCACGGTCCTGTAAAAGTGCTTGTAAAATGGTGAGCTCAATTCCTCACTGGTAGCACCGAAACTGATGACAGGTACCCCCGCAACTTTGAGCAGACTTCCCACTAACACAGAACTACCAGAATCGCCAGGCCCTATAACAGAGATCAGGGGACTGACATGTCCTGGTGCCGTTTTATTTGGTGGTTGTGACGCCAAGAATTCTTTGGGGCATACATAATGCGATTCCATATCTTTCACAAATTTATAAGTCGCATTCACAGCAAGGGAGGCGCTTTCACAGTAGTCATGTATGTCATAGCCCAAAGTTATGTTTGGCAGTAGTTTAGGATCACTGTTTATCCTTTCAATGGCGTAAATCATAGCTTGCACATGTCCTAAACCCGGAGCATGAAAATCGCCGCAGTCCTCATTATTGGTACCTTTGTAGTGAAGAAAGAATAGGCCGCCCAGGGTAAAGTTGCTATGTTCCGGTCCTTGAATGTTCTTGCTGGAAATTTTGTTGTGATGTTGCGTTGTGACTGGGAAAAACAAAGTCAAGAAGAAGAAGATTCCCAAAGGCTGGGTGTACTTCATTTTCCAGTACTTAAAAGTCTCCAAAATCGTCTCTTCTCTGCTCTTACTATCTTTCGATTGTTGTATAAGGAAGCTCGTCAATTCAATGCTTTCAGTTTTCCTTTCACCTTGACTACAGAGAAAATGAAAACATTTAAAAGAAGTTAACGCTGTTTTAATCAAAGGCCTTTGACTGGCTTTAGATTTCACCGAGTTTACAATCAACTGCTGATAAGGCATCTGATTAGGGAAGCGCGCTTAATTAAAAACGCTTTCTATTAAAGGAGGCTGACAACTAGGTGTTGAAGATAATGTGCAAACTGGTTCTTTAGGGTGTCCAAATAAACTAAGAAAACAGCTAGAATGAATGTCACCATTTAAATAATTCAGCTCGGTTCCAGATTGAATAATCTCACAATAAAAGGCATCTTAGTGAAAATCAAGTTGTGTCTTCATTAATAAAAAAATTGAAGGCCGTATAAACATATCCCCACCCCACATAGGAAAAACCCAGGGGGGTGTTTTGGTTTTGTTACTGGATGATCCTGTGGAGAGATCTCCTATTAAAGGATATGTCGTATCGTTATTGAAAATGGCTGCCATCTTGGATTTTAGTACGAGTCGTTTAAAAAAAACACTCAAAAGTGCAAAAGTGCAAAACATCCAATTTTTTCCAAAAAAAAACAATGACTCGAAGGCATGTTACTTCTGATCATAGCGACCCATCGTTACTTTAAGGTTTTATATCAAAATGTGTCAGAGGAGTAATCAAGTATCCTAACGGAAGAGAAGGGCTATTTTTACCAAGACTGAGTTGAGTTTTAAGCAGTACATTTTGTGGCATACCTAATAATAAATTTTGTTTACTTTATATGACTTTTTTTAAATGGCTGATTGCCAAGATTTGTGAACCTACAGTAGTTAATGTGTATTTATAAATAGTCTGGTAGTGGTACCCCCCCCCAAACACAAAAAAAAAAAAGAAAAAAAAAAGGAAATTAAGACAGAAAGAAAGAAAAGAAGAAGAAGGGGAACACCTGCACACGTCACCCAATGTATCAGTTGCTCCGATCCAAGATTCAATCGAAGCTCTCATTCTGGTTTGATCTATGTCTAAAATGTAGATTACCTCTTTACAATTTCAAATTCAGGTGAACAAAATAATACTTTGGTCAGACATTTATTTGATTGGTCCAATTGGGAACTAAAATTCACAAAATACTAAATCTTACCCAAGCAGTCCATACTTCTTTAATCATACAACGTTGGCCATTTGTCTCCTTCTTCCTCCATTCTTTTTGCACTTATGGACCGTACTATATAATTAACTAAAACTTTTATTGCTTGTGTGAAAATGAGTATTTTGATTTTTCATTAATTTAATCGATCGTCTTGAATTAACACCACTTTCAATTTCCTACACGAAGACATTCAAAATTACGTAACGATATTGTTATTTTACTTCTTTCTCTATCCAGCTCTCTGTAAACATTATAATCCTTCACGTTTTCTTTCTTTATTTAGTCCTTAAATGTATTTTCGTTTTTCTTTAATTAGTTTTGTTTTTAATGATAAATATATAATAAAAAAGCATCACGAAATTCTTAGTAAACTAGGCTTTGTTCTCTATGACGAACCCTCGGGAGCCCCATGCATCATGCAGTCACCCCACCGTTGAAATAATAGGGACCTTAAGATCCGAGGACGGCGACGGGCAGCGAAAACGTCCTTGAAAAAGTGAGTTCGCGTTTTTTCAATCTTCATCGCGATTACTCTGAAGTCACTAACCTTGTTAAATGTAGGTGAACCCTCTTAAAATTGAATTCCTAAGAACCATATCCAAGCTCAGAAATAGAGAGGAAATTTCGTCGTCGCTTGTGTACTTCCTCTGTAAAGCGTCGTAGTCGTGCAGTGACGGCAAAGAAATGAACAAAAAAGGGTGATACCTGCAAAATTGTTGTTTTGGTTATTAAAACTATTGCTTTTTTGACGTCCTCGTTGCCGTCGCCGTCGTGGGATCTTAAGGTCCCTAATTGATGGGAAGGGTTGTTGCAATGTCGTATGTCTTGTTTGCAAAATCATAGAAAAATTAAGGGGAAAAGTTAATCAGATAATGAATATCAAAAAATTATCTCGAGTTGCTTATAGTGTTCAGATTTTTTCTGTTTTAAATGCCCTTGGATAGAGGACAATATATATTTTCAGTCTTAGAAAGGTCTTAGAATTTCAGACTGTCCATCGCAATAGTCTTTAGAAATCATATAAAATTAGTCGAAAAGATTTGATAAGAATCTCCGCCCTTTCCTGTCCGATTACTTGTTTATATGTTTCCTCTGGCAATTACCACCACAGTACAATTTACAATTTCTGCAAGTGTCAAATAACATTTCATTTTATTCAGTTCTCTTTCATCTCGAAGATTTACATAGTTTAACTTAAAGTTACATCAAAAACGGCTCATCGTTGAATTAATCGCTGTTCCCTATATAGCGAAGATTTTAATACTGTGAACTCTTGGGCTTGTTTTCTGTTGGCTCTCAATCGTCTTTCAGCTCCATCTCCCGGTAACAGTCCAATTTCCGTGCAGCTTCGCACAAACTTCGTCGATAGCTGATCACTTTTCTCTGGAAAAAAGGATGTAAATAAAAGCATGGTTACGAAAAAAATAATTAGGATTTGATCATTATTATATATAGTGATACTAAGAGCACCTTCGATGCGCGGTCATAAGGATACCAAAATATTTCTAATGAATTTTTCGCTTTTTGTCGATTGCTGTTTACCTCGCTTCTTTTGCCTACGTCCATACAGTCAGATCCGTCGGGTCCGAGGGACACTAGGAGAAGAGCGATAAACACGACAGATAACAGTACCGATTTCATTTTCAGGACTCGATCTTTTGTCAGTGAGGCTGTACTTTGTTTAAAGGAGTGAAGAACAAATTGGATTGTTGCTACTGCGTGGACATCTTATATGGACTGGCTGTTAGAGCAATTAATCAAATTGTGTTAGATTAATATTAGAGTCGAAAGCTACCAAGGTAAAATTATAAGCTATTACCAAAAGGGCGGATGGTCAAATTGTTCTTTGGTTGCAATTAGACGAAATTTTGCTTCGAGATACTAAATGCCTAATTGCTGCTGAAATTAAAGAAATTGTGTTAGCTTCTATTAGTAACATTACTATTAGGAGTACAATAAGGTTACAAAGGTAAATATAATAAGATAAATATTGAAAGTTTTATTATTATTATTATTATTATTATTATTATTATTATTATTGTTGTTGTTATTATTATTAGTCAAATAGACGGTGAACTTGCACGGAATTACCTGGGGCTTGACATGCGATTAATAATTCGGAAGGAAATAATAAGTCACAAAATTCATCTCACCTCAAGGTGTATTTCTGCACGTGTCACGTGCAATCATGCTCACCGCGGAGTAAATAAATGATGTCTTCAATTTAGTCTCCCATTCAGCCGTTTTCCCTCCTCCGGCAATCTTCAGACTAAAGTTATATCATTTAAAGTTGAAAGAAATACACGGGACAGGTTCACGGTTAAGCGCATGCTCGTGAATCGTTTTTTTTTTTTTTCCAATTTATTATTACTTCTATCGGTTAATAATTCCACTCACATGTATCTCAGCAATCTCAGATTGTATTTCAAAGTACAAGTGTATTTCAGGGTAACGAAATATGATGGAGGAGTGCTAAAATCGCAGAAAAAACTGGTGGATTATGCCAACACTACCAACGTTGAATTTTTTGTTGAACCGAAGGTTTTATTCCATGGTTGATTAATTTATAGCTATTTGCAAATATTTAAGTTACTCGACTGCAAGTGACTGTCGGGGGAGTGTGCAGATTGGTCCTTTGACAACATTATGACATCATCATATTGCTTGCATAGACGATGCAGCATGTATACAGCATAGTAGAAAAACAGCATTTTGATTAATGAGCATGCGCTGAACCGTGAACCTTTCCCTTTAAGGCATGACTAAACAAGGCATCCGCGAGTTACCCATAGTTTTTTCTTTGGTTTACCATACTGGCCCCTGGATAACCACAATGAATTTCAAAATGTACAGTTATATTTTGTATATATTTTATAAAAATATTCTTTGCCACTTAAGGTGTTTTCACTTTTATTGAGAACTAGAACAAATTGGTTGAAACACTTGTCACAATCAAGCATGCGCAGTAAGGTCATGTGATGGCTCTCTCTCCTCTTTACGTACGGCACTATTGTCAGCTGATCTATCTGGGTAATTAATAAATTACTGAAAATAAATTCTACAAAAGCGAAACTCCAGAATGATCTCCAGTCTTCATACTATGAAGATAATTTAAAAGTATAAAGAATATGAAATCCTTGCCACCGGCTTTAGGTTTAATTTGCCATTTATATAGTTATTCTTTATTTCACTTGCTCATTTTAAGATAACACATGAAGTGGTGCTTCTTAAGACCGTTCATTTAAATTTCTTTTTACAATAAAAGCCAAGGCTTTATCTCGTTTAACGCATCTAATACATGTATATGTGCTGATTATTCCCTTGCTTCTTGCCACGATGGTATATCTTCTTGTTCCTCGTCGCAACTCAATTCCCGCGCAGCTTATCACAAACGTAACATAATTATTATCATCATCATCGTTACCATCATCCTCGTCATTATCAAGCTTTTCAATGTATCTGTCTTAAGTAAAGCGCCATTTTACTAGGCCAAGACGAAAATGCTCGATCAGATCGTGTGGAAAGACTTTATTAGGACCGCCCGGGATCATTGCCGGCCTAAGTAAG